TCTGACAGTGAAAAGTGGTATAATATTCCTTTTGCTACTCTTGGCCTGAATACTCGTGCTCCACAGCACTTGTCCCACTTGGGCTTAAAAGTCTTAAGATCTGTATTCTTGGGCTTCTTTCTATTTAGGGTCCACTCCTGTGCAGTTTTCATGTTTACAGGAAGGAAGGGAGGATACTATTCCTCATCTCTGATTATCTGCTATGGGATCTTAGGCAATACATAAATAAGGGTTATTCTCTGCTATTCTGTCCCTGTCTATCAAGACTTCTCAAGCACTTCCCAGCTTTTCCATCCTATAGGTCTTAAGCTTCACTACCTTCTGTTTTTTTTCTAATTACTTCTTTTTAAAGCAATTGCTTAGGCACAAATAATGAGATTTCATATTTAATACCTTTTTGTAGAGGACTTTAAAGTTGACAGCACTTTTTAAAGCAATTGCATCCAGTGTTAGTTTCCCCTAAGTTCAATTATGCAGGTAACTTCTGCCACTGTGGTCTATTAGATCTCCTAAGAGCTCTTCTAAAACACTGCTCAGTGATTGGCACCAAAATCAACAACTGAGCCCTCTGAAGTGTTATCACAAATAGAGTGATTTTACTTTGCAATTGAAGCTTCTACTCATTCATGATACTTTTAACACCAATGAGAAGTTCAGAACCTGAATATTATCTTCAAAATTCCATTTGATATTTCTCTTGAATTAAAAAGCAATTTTTATCAGGCACAATGAGCTAGTTCTGCTTGGTCAAATAAATCATGTCTATCTAAAAAAAAAATTTTCTACAGTATGTTTCTTGACTTTAAAAATATTTTTATGAAGTGTCACTTAAATTAAGYTCTATTGTATCTACTATTTTGTATTTATCCATAGAGGTATTTACTCCAACTATGAAGAAATTAAGTCTGAGTTTGTCATCATTAGTAATCCTTCATTAGTAAACACATGCACAAAATATTTAATACCTTGTGCTGTTATTATGATTGTAGATATTACTGAGGTATGGGCAAACACCAAGTTTTTATTACACAGAACATGATTTCTTCAGTCTTCTGGAAACTTACGTGCCCCCCCAGAGAGTACCTGTTAATGGTTTATAACAATTGTATGTAGCTTGTTATGTGCTGTAAGCCAACTGTATCGGGCTTTACAAATTTGATGTCATCAAAATAATCCTCAACCTGTTCCTCTATTCAAAAATACTCATCCTTTTTTTGTTTTAGTAATTAGTTAAAATTCAACATTCTGTGAAGATAAACCAAATGAGGAATTAAGGAAGAAAGTTTTCTCCTTCATGCCTCATTTATTTATTAAAAGGACATAATAAAATGTCAATARAGGATATTATACAATATTTTTAGTGAGCTTCTATCTTCTTCCAAAGCTGAAAAAACCAAAAGGCACACCAAAGCTAAGGAAGTTTTCACATGTGTACTTTTAAAGACATATACAGTATTTTACCAGCATTGAGCCCCATAGCACCTAGAAAATCAGGTAAAACTCATTAATCTAAATTCAGTGCAATGATTCTTGCACCTAATATCAGAATGATATTCCAGATTTCCCACCTTAACACTGAATTACTTTAATTACAGTATAATGGGTGTTAGTTTAAGTATTTTTGCCAATTATTTGCCTCCCACATTACCATGAATATATAAAATTCACTCAGATAAGCCTTACGTTTATTTTTAAGACTGGAAGTAATGCTAAGTCTGAGTTTAAATTTCTAAGTGGTTTTAGTCTGTTAAAAGCATAAGAGAACACACTCTTGCATTCCTTGTCCATTATTATTTATTGTTGTAGCTTTCAGATGAAGAGTCAGTTGCATTACCCGGAGTAAGATGGAAGTAAGCAGCAGTATTTATTTCAGCACAATAACTGGGCAGCCTTGATTGCGCCTTACAAAAGAACCTGAAGTGTGCTACCACMTAAGTGTTAGGATTTGAAAATTTGGTTTCAGATTAGCCTGCATATTACACTTCTAATTTAAAATAAAATGTTCCAAGAAGTCTGTGGAAATATAGCTTATCAAGTCTTCTTGTCATTAAAGATACTGGGTAAAATGCCAGTGACATAAAATCACAACAAAAAAATGAGATATTTGATATTTAAAACATTTACAGATAGAATATTTTATACGGCTATTTGATTACTTCTAACCATATATATATGACAAATTAAGAGAATTCATTAGTTTTTAAAAATATGCTGGATTTACCAGCTTTCAAATAATGTACAATATATAGGAAACCCCTCCAATTTACTATTTWTTTACTGAAAAGGACAAGAAACAACTTACATTCAATTAAAAAAACCAGAAATGCTTAACCCATAATTAATAAAAATCAATTATTCCATTATAGAGAATCACAGGAGCAAGTGAAATACAAGATTTTCATTTTCTTCGACAAAACTTGAATTATAAGGAAAAACACAACTTCTCTTACATTATTGATTCCTTCCATTTTAAGTGAGCTCATTCAAGCTGTCAAAACCTGAGGTCCTACTTGATGACATAAAAGATGTACAAAGCTGAATAAATCATACTTGGGAAAATGGCCATACAAAACCACAAATACTATTAAAATCACTACAAACACAAATAGAGACTTACAGACATTCCTAACAAAAAGGATAAAAAGTATAARCATTGGATAACTTTTATTTGCTGAATGCTATTCCATTTCTTCTGTCCTCTAAAATCTATTATTTTAAACAAGTTGTTCCAATATAATAATAAAAAATAAAATAAAAGCATGACATTCTAGAACAGTAATCATAATTTAGTTGCTAGAATTTCAAAGTTATAATTAAATCTAAAATTAACTGGAATACCTAAGTTTAAACATAGTAAATAAACCTGAGAGAGTGAAAGCAGCATTTGGACAATACTGTCAGGCATATAGTGTGATACTTGGGACTGTCCTGTGCTGGGCCAGGAGCTGGACTTTGATGATCCTTGTGAATCCCTTCCTTCCAGCTCAGAATACYCTGTGATTTTTCTCCTTCCCTATTTGTTTCCATGACTATTTAGTGAAAACCAGACTGTTCTTTGACATCAGGAACTATGTAATTTAAGGATCGTTTTCTAGTACATCAACACATGGTAAAAACCACAAACTGTGAGTTCATATAGAATCATAGAATGGTTTGGGTTGGAAGGAACCKTAAAGATTATCTAGTTCCAACTCTATAGCCATAGACAGAGACACCTTCCACTAGACCAGGTTACCATCGAGCCTCACCATGAAGAMTTCCAGGGATGAGGGGTCCACAACTTCTCTGGGTTACCTGTTCCAGTGTCTCAGCACACACAGAATAATTGATTTCTTGATAATATCTAACTTAAACCTACTCTTTTTAATTCAAAAACTGTTTCCCCTGGTCCCTTTACTACAAGCCCCCATGAAATGCCTCTCTCCAGCTTTCTTGTAAGCCCTCTCTAAGTACTGTCCTCAGAGCCTTCTCTTCTCCAGGCTGAACATTCCCAACTTTCTCAGCCTGTCTTCCTAGGAGAGGTGCTCCAGCCCTGTGGAGGATCATCATTATGGCCTACTCTGGGCTTTTTCCAACAGGTCAACTTCTTTCTTGAGCTGAAGGCTACAGAGCTGGAGGTCTCAAACCTGARTTTCTCCTACAGCAGGCATTCCCTCAATCCCTGCTCTCATCTGCTACAACACTGGTGGCACGGCTGAAGCACTTGCTGGTGAGGCCTGGGGGAAAAAATGTGTTGTGTACATCATCCTTCTCTACATCCTGGGCAACAAGACTTTTTTTATCATTCCTGAGAGGACCCAGGCTTTTGCTAGGGATTTTGCCTCATCTTTCCTTTGTTGCTGATGCACCTAAAGGATTTTTTGTTTACCCTTGATATCCTTGGCCAGATTTACTTGTGATAGTGCTTTAGCCTTCTTAATCAGATCCACGGCTGTTCAATTTCTCTGTGTTCCCCCCAGGCTACCTTTCCCTGATTCTACTCTCTGAAAGCTACCTGTTTGTAGCTTGTTGTTGGAGATTGTACAGGAGCTCCATGTTCATCCATGCAGGCCTCCAGGCATTCTTCCATGATTTCCTCTTTGTAGAGATGCATTGGTCTTCAGTCTGGAGGAGACAATCCTTGAGTATCATTCAGCTCCCTTGGGTACCTCTTCCTGTGGTACTCTACCAAGCAAATCCCTGGTAAGGCCAAAGCCTCCTCTCCTGAAGTCCAGGGTAGCAGGCTTGCTGTACRCCTTCCTTGCTGCCCCAAGGATCTTGAACTCCAGCATTTCATGGTCATTGCAGCCAAGGCTGTCCTTGAACTTCACATTCTTCACCACTACCTCCTTGTTGGTGGGAACAAAATCCAACATAGCACCTATCCTTTATGGCTCCTCTATCACTTGGAACAGAAATTTTCATTTATGGGTATACATTTATAGCTGTATAACCTACACTTGCATCCAATGYTTTCTTAACTGTGTTAAAAATCATGTACTACAGATATTAAAATACAGGTGTAGTGGACTCAAAACAGCAGCTCAGAGTTCAGCAATTTATTACTCATAGGCACAGTCATGGTCCAACATTTCTACTGKATTTCATAAGTCTCATAGCAAGTTTGTTGAGGTCTTCAAGCTAATAATTAGTTTCATATAATTAATTCATGCACTACTACAGAATTTTCTAGGGAAAATARATTATTAAAATATACCATTATAATTACAAATATTCAGACCCAGGCAAACTTGACAAAATGCAAAATACCAAAATCTGAAAATGATTACCCCAATGCAACTTAGCAGCATCTTTCAGAGAAGTTTCTGACACTCAATATTTTAGTATACATTTACAATGAAATACCTTTCGCTAAACCAACTTGAAAATGCTTAAGTATAAAAAATGTTCTTAAAATTATTATTAAAAATTATGATAAATTTCATATAAAAAAGTCATGGTTGAAAAAGACAGTTACATTGCAACTCTTGCAGGTCGTATTTCATTTTCATCACTGCACAAGTTAAAAAGTGCTAACTCAAATATTTTTTTTCCACCAGAGATTTTATGAACTTAACTGCAATTTTAGTAACAATTTTTACTTGTGAAGTAAAAATAATTTGAACAAGGAAACCTATGATAAGGAATTACTCATAAACAATTTACAAGAACACCATAACATGTAAAGAAGAAAGACTTTGATTTCTTGAACAGATTTTTAATAGCAACAGAGAGGAGATTAGGATGAAAGAAGACTCAACAGTACTTCTGTTGTACATGGTGAGCAGTTTCCTTATCTCTTATGGTTTTATTTTTGTAAGGTATAGGAAAACAAATATGTGATCTTTTTGATTCTACGCACTCATTTATTTTACTCAGTAATAAAGTCAGCACCACAGTATTTTCTTCTTTTGGTGTATTTCTGAAATATTTTTCCTTTTGGAAATGGAAGTTCATTTTGCATTTAGTTGCATATCTAATGCAGTATGGTATCTTTTGATTCTCCAGCTCTAAGTAGTAACTTACCAGTAGTAAGAGCASTGTAATTCATCTTGTTGTAGGATTTTTCATGACCGTGCTGTGGCAGCCTATTCACATCATCACAGTCTAGAGCTTCTCCAGTGTCATCTTTTTCACCACCTGATATACTTAATCCAGGATGTTTAGCTGTCTTGGTCTTTCTCTTTACAGGAAAATCATTCACTGAAATAGACTTTTTCCTGCTTTTCTTAGTAGTATTATGTGGCTTACAGAAACTCACATCATGTAGGTCCATGCTTAAAGAGTCTTTGCAACAAACTTCAGGAGGATTCTCTGATTCCCTTGGTACTCGTATCTGTACTCTATATTTGTTTAAATTAGATGATGAAAAGCAGTCTTCATAAGAAGYCTCTTCAGTGCAGTAAGACTTGCTRTATGTAGTAATTGCTTGCAAGAACCCCTTAGAGCCTGAGGCATCCAGTTCTGAGGTAGCCAACTTCAAACTACGTAATGTTTGTTGTTTCTTCTTCTTCTTCTTGTCCTCAAGAAGACAGTAATTTCTGTCMACAGCAAAGCTTTTATCCAGTGAACATGTATTTAAATCTTCATTATTCATAGGTGAATTAGAGAGACTGTCACTCAAAGCGGGATCAGTATTTAACTGGACTATTTTTTTGGAAGGAGTAATCTGTCCAAAGCTCTCAAGAAGAGAACTTTCATTTGCAATTGAAGTAGTCTTGCTCTTCTCATTCTTCTGATTATTCTTTGGAAACAATTTGTCATCCAGAGTGTGCTGTATAATCTGTTTCATTGTTAAACTTCTGGCATGTCGTTTTGGTGTTAAGTTCTGCTCACTCCCATGTGATAGAGAATTCACTGATGCTCTCATGGATACACGAATATCAGTCCAGGTATCACAGGCATGTTCTGCTAACCCTGTGCTCTGTGTCTTTAATTTCTCAGTTCCCCAAAGATAACTTGTGTTCAAGCAGTCTTCCATTTGTTCTCCTGCAAAACAAAAAAACGTGGCAATATAAATGTATTGAACAAAACAGGAGTATCAATTTCTCAGTAACACATATATGGAATTCCTGAACTGAAAAAACAAGGATTTAGCCACTTTTCTGTCTATTATATGGCAAGTCAACAAAAATGAAACAGAAAATGGATTAGAAACAAAGCACATTCTATTGTTGACAAGAACCTACAACGGTTTTAGCTACTGTATCTCCTTACCTGGTCGTAAGCACCCACMAATCCTGTTCTGTCTGCTTTCTAGACACAAAGCAGCAGAGGAACTGGCTTTTCCTCTTGCATTTATAGAGAAAACCAGCAAAATTATATACTGATAAAGTTAGCTACAGTAACAGTGGAAACTCAATAGCCTTTCTGCTACCAAAGCATTAGCATCACCTGGAAGTTTTTTCAGTTAAGATGAAATTAAATACAACACCGTAGTATACCATACATATCAACACAATGCATTAAAATTAGTTAGAATGCAGAAAAAGAATCATTTATTGTAGTTATTCTTATGAAATTATTTTGTGTTAGGTGTTATACAGAATCTAGTAATAACTCTTCAGAATAACTTCCTCTGAAACAAGCTAGATGTCTGACTAATCAACATACATTTCTAAAAATCTCATTGTTCTACAATCAGATGATTGCAACAGATGCTTTTGCTTAAGCAGATGATGAGTGCAATGTTGCAGTAATAATGCTTCTTTAAGTCCTCCTGTAGGTTTTAGGGGAAGTCTTGATGTTATTTGCTTACTAAATATACATAATATTTTTAAACCTATGGTGTAGCTAACTATATTAAGAAAAAATACAGGGAGAAATTTCACATGAAATGATCAGACTCATACAGACAATTATTGAAGTTTTAGCTTCAATCCTCAAATTAACCTGGCTCTTGAATTTTTGATACTGTTATAAACCAATCTCATATCTCTCAGTTACAAACACAGGGGCCACTGTCACAGAGCATCAGAGATGGCAGCTACACTGAATGCTGTCATGGGAATTGGTGGTCTGTTCTTAATGTAAAATTACATGGTGCAGTTGCAAAGATGAAGGGACGTAAGCAAAGCAAATCACAATGCTCTATCTCATCAGCACATAAATAATCCACCAAAATAAAACAGTTTGCTGGCACAGCTATGCTATTTCCAGTATTGAAATATCCCTTCTCACTAACATTGCATGAAGACATAACAAGTTGTTGCAGGCTTCAAGATACCCACCCTGTTTTCAGGTAAGCCAACATGACAGAACTCCTGTATGATGTCAATAAAATACAACACCTCAAAAAAGCAGGAGSTATAGTTTACTGCTGAGGGAGAACAGAGAGCAGGCAAACTGCTCAAGTGGCCCTCATTACGAATTCCAGACTCCCTTCTCCTCACTTTTCTACTGAGATCAGGTGCCAGCATCTGACTTGAGCTTTTTGCCCTTGTGACTGACAGACAACACGAGGCCTGAAGCACACACTTATTGCATGCATAAGCAATAGTATTAAGATATTCACTCATGTAGCTCAGCAGACTTCACAATAATCTTCTCTCTCACACCCTGCTAATATTCCAAAGCACAGGAACAAGCCCCTACGCTTATGAGAATAACTTTATGAGGTTCTTACCTTGCTAACAAATTATTTTAATCCATCTGAAACTATAAAACATCTAAAAAGCCAGTTTATTTTTACTCATGTTATTTCTTCAAACCTGACTACTTAAGCTGCAAAACACTTTAGGCTAACTTTCAACTGAAAATTTGGAAGACGTTTCAATTCCTTGAGGTCTCACCCTCATTCAGATGTCTTTTTAGCTTCCYACATCACAGTATTTGGTGTGTGATCTGTATTACTTATATGACCACTGTTAGGAACAGAGAAGATTGACACAATGTCAGGAGAAGTTATTAAWAGGGAATGGTATGAGTAAAGAGAAGGAAGTGAGGCAAGCAATACAGCAGTAAGGCAGAGCATTCAGCCAGTGGTATCCTTCATGCTCCATTTTTCTTGACTTAGTATAACGTATTTTCTGTCACTAAGAAAAGATAATTCARCTTTAAATATAAAAGACAGAGAAAATAGATACAGTTCCCATTTTAGTAGACCGGAACTTTCCAAAGTAAGATATAAAGGCCATGCATCATTTTCAATTTCTGTAATATATGAAGTTGTAATAAATACCTGGTAGCAGCACATCTTCTGAATTAGTTAAGACACAAGTAGAAAGTGGGCAGTCTCCTGGTGAGCTACCTGCAAGTGTTTGAGTAATTTGTGAACCTAGGAATACAAAAAAAGCTATTAGATATTTGTATGCATTTTTTCTAGGTAACTCAGCAGCACATTCTTCTGAAACTATACCATAATGTCAAACCATTTAGAAATTATTACAGATATTTCTAAGGCCTAAAATCTGTGAAATCTTGCATTCAGCAGCTAAGTTTTGATATAGCAGAAATGTTTTTTGAAAATATTTGAAGGTTTACCTTTAAATTAGAAGAGCAAATAAATACAAGCATCAGTAAAATAAACCGAGATTTAATTTTTCACCCATGTATTAGTGTTTCTTTACTTTCCTCTCACAATTATTTTTGAAATTAGAAACTGACAGTCTAGCATAAATGCATGTCTTAAAACTTCAAATACTGAAGATAACCCCCCACCAAGGCATCTAAGTTCATGTACATGTTCTACATTCAACATTTTTTATAGTAACTGGCAAAATCTAATAACTTAGACCTTAATATTTTTTCAGTAAGGTAATACAAACACTAAAAAAAATTCTGAAAAGTATAATCTAGATTTAATCCACTGGAATATGCATTTTAAATTCATCTAGATTTATTTAATTAGGTTATTCGAATTTATTTCTCTTTTAAGTCCTGTTCTTCAGTACCTGGACAGATATTTCATCAGTTTTGGGCTCATTTTYAAATTGTTGAAGTGTGAGTAATAAAATTACAATCTTTGTCGTGCACGGCATCCACATTAAATTTTAACAGGAAAATAAGATTTAGAGTCTTGCTGTAAAGTTTAATCAAGAGGTGATAATATCAATTTACATGGCTAGAAAGTCTAGCTTAAACATTGGTCCTCTTGAACAGCCTCATTATAAAAAAATTATCTTGCAACCACTGTGTGCTAAGTAAAATTTAACTTCTTACCAGCAGGAGAAAGATTCTTTCTTTTTCCCTTCATATTCTTTCTTCTTCTTTCCACTGTATTGCATTTATCTTTCATCTTATTAACAGGGCTGTATATAAGTGAACCATTGTCTTCAAATAATAAAACTGGTACATCTGTTTCTACAAAAAGAAATTGTATTTATTTATTAATAGTTAAATGCTGTAACAACTTCAAATGAAGTTTCTTGTTTTTTTGAAAAGAAAAAAAMCACAACTTAACACAACAGATTTGCAAAGATCACTGTGAAAATTACACCAACTTGATTTTCCATGGCAAGATGAAAAAGACTCAAAAAACCCCAACCAATAAACACCAAAACCACATCAGGCACTTTAAAGAAATAACTTCAGATATTGGAATCTTAATAAAAAATTGTTCTTACCAGCAGTAACTGCTGTCTTTTGTAGAGCTAATTCTTTAGCCATTTGGCTCAGTCTTTTCTGAAGCTTTCTATCATTTTCTGGAGTTTTTTCAACATAGTCTTTTGGTTGCATACATTTGTGCTACAAGACAGACAAAGCTATTAATTATATGTATAAAACTGCCAAATAACAGCACTTCCTATATTGCCTATCACTTCATCACCGTATTTATTATTGGTATTTACGCTGCTCATCACCTCCTTGAGAGTCACAGGCAGAAGTTAACATTTTGCAAAGTAAACTTTCACATTAAATAAGAAAGAACCTAACAAATGGGGTTTTTTGCTTGCAGCAAGGTTAAAAATTTAAAGATAGTTTTAAAAATATGTTACAACTCTGTGAAATATAAGCCATAGTAACATTTTTTTTTTATTAGTCATCATTATATAATTTGAATTTAAATCTTCATTTTTTAATCACCAATACAAAAACTTGATTTTTAGTATACTTTCTTGAGATAAGATGCCACATGATCACAGCAACAGACTCTTTCAACTCTTACTTGGATAGATAAAGTTTACAGAATGTTCTGCAACTAAACAACTCAAATGCCTGAGGTCAAAAAGTCAAGTTCAATCTTTAAAGTTTACTATTCTAGGATTACTTAAAAAAAAGGTTTTTWAAAAATCTCATGCTTACTTTTTTGATTGGTAGTAAAAATCCTTCATTAGTGTCTACTGCTGGAAATAGAGATTCATCAACACGWACTCCAGTTTCTCGACACCTGTGCAATAGAGAAGATTTGGTGGTTTTTTTTCTCTTGATTTTGTCTGTTCATTTGTAAGACAGAGAACCTTTATTGTAAAAAGAATTGTTTGAGCCCTGCAGTAATGAAACACCAAACCTTCCTAAGTGAGTAATTTTAAGATAAGTACTGTAATGCTAACCTTCCCCTAACCCAAATCTCTCTATTATATGTCAAATATGCAATAACAGTTTTTGTGCCAATGATGCCCTCTAAATTGCAGTTCTGAAACGGCAAAATTCCCACTCACGCTATTTTCTACACCTTTCCAAGCTGCTGGAGTGTGCTCCCAGCAATTGCTCGCGTGGCTCTGGTGACACCTAGCGATGGAGTCTCTCCACAGTGTGAGCCTGTAMCCGCCTCATCCTTCCTTACTCGGGTTTGAATGGACGAGAAAGACAAACCCCTGCAGGTATTTGTCAATCTTACTCAATTTAKAGATCTTAGGAGCTGCAAATAGAGATATTCAGCAGCTGGACTTCAGAGACTATTATTAAATTCTGGATAATAATCAGCACAGATGCAAAGTACATGAAGAGTTACATCAATTCAGAGATTTCATTGTTTTCAGAGAAGATGAATAGAAGAAAATTTTACCATTAAATCTAAGATTTTTTTACTTGCAAACAAGTCTGAATGTAAATGATTTATATAAATTATTTGTGAGATGAATTACCCTACTAAGAAAACACAGGTCGAGCTTCACAATTACGCATTTGATGTGGAAATATTAAGTATTAATATTAAGAGTTCCTAATTTGGACAATTCCACCTCTTACTGGGTTCTTCTTGCTCTTGAGTTTTGATTTTTTTTTTTTTTTTTGGCTGCTCATGGAAGTAATTGTGTTGAAGAAGCAATAAAAAAACCACTTTTTGTCAGTGATCCCAAAGCAGTCACTTATTTTGTATTAAACTTTAAATTTATTTGCATGATAGCAAATGACTTTTGTTCACTATTTTTAAAGTTACACATATCTATCATTCTTAAAAAGCAAAAAAAAAGTAAAAGCAAATTTTTTTTTTAATTTAAAGTAACTTTATCTGCAGTTATAAATTTTTTGTATTTTTKATTTTCATATTAAAGAATTGTCTTCTCAAATTACTTCCTAAACTGTAGAAGTGCATACAGTTTAGGCTCAAATACATGCTCATAGAGCAGAAGCTTCCAATAAAGGTTTGAGGCACATCATTTGAGAGAGCACTAGAAATCCAGTCAGAGTTCAACAAGACAAGAATCACTAAATACTGCACAAACCCTTCAAATGTGTTGGGCTTTTATGAAGAAGTCTAGGCATTTGAGTCTAAGCATCTGAGCACTTTTCAGCTCATAGGGCATAGTCCTCTGAGAGACCTAAGCACTGCTCAGGAGAAGGCAACACTTGGGTACAAGTCTAACAGATTGGAAGAAGGGGTCCAATAGCTGTTAAGTGAGAGAATATTTTGCACAAAGTAGAAGAATCAGGAAATGCTGGAATGATTATTTATTATTTGCTTCCTTGTCTGGTATTTTCAGAGCTCAAACATCAAAAAGTAGCATCCAAATTAAATACCATATACTGCAGAATCCTGTAATATCCTCCAATGTCAAGATTTCTAAGAGCATGTAAAAACATAAAAACACAGCAAAACATTCCCACAGAGTTTACTGTRTTCCATAGACTTCTGGTTGTCAAATGGTCAGATGCAATATTATACTTAGGTTTTGATAAAATGTTTAATTGCTTCAGCTATTTTTTAAACCCATGTAAATCTTTGCTCACTATGATTCTGCAACAAGGAGTTCTACAGCCTAACCCTGTGTTATTAAAACCCACCATTACCGTTTTCTCTGAATCTGCCTCCAAGCGTATCAATGCAATACTTTCCAACTCTTCTACTGGAAAGGAAAACATACATTCATCTCCCATTTTCTATGCAAATCTTTGTGTTCACAGTAATCTCCCTCCTCCACTCTGACTTCTTTTCCAGACTGAAGTATTCTTGTCTCTTCAATCATATCTTGTAAGAAAGCTATTTTATAACTTCAGTCAAGCTCATTGCCATCCCCTGGCAACATTCCATATAACAATGATAAAATGCTGTCATTCCACTMTATGAAGTTTTATGTTTTATTTAGTTTAGTTTTTGACTACTGCTAAGGTGACATTGCTATGAAAATGTACAAGTCTACTGTAAGTCCCAAAATGCAATGATTGTCTTTCTGTTATGCTTAAGAGGACTGCTTTAAACAGTCTCCTTGACACCAACAAGAATGAGTCTTAGCTTCTTAACRGAACTTCTTCCTTTTTAAATTTAAGCATTGTCAAAGAACTTTTTGGGTTTGGTATTCCAGTATGAACACCTCTTTTATACTGTAGACATACTTACAGAAAGATTCTCTGACAGAGTTTGAACAGCCATCCACAAACCAACTAAAGCCAAGCAATAACTAAGACACTTGGTTTTGCACTGCACTCCTAAAGGAGTCCCCAAGCCCCAGACTACGCTAGATAGTTGACACATACTATTACATTTGCTGAAATAATATTTCACAGCATTTTTGACCACTCTGAGAATGCTTCTCTTGCTATTGAAGGAAGCAGGTGGTTAATCAAGCAATCTTTTTCAGCAATGCTAAAAGTTCAACTCATAGGAACTCTGCATTATTTGCTTACAYGGTTATCAGGCTCAAACTAAGTTTCCATTCACATGATTTTACTGGCACATATTAATAAGTCCTTCCTGTTTACATTGTTACAGGATTAATAGACCATCTTCTGCCTACCAGTGTCTGAGGCATGTAATTTAGTCATCTTAGGTTCCTTCATCTTATCACAAAACCCAAAAATTAGCATGTATGCTAACACAGACTCATTTTAATTTTGTACTGCCTGTGCCTCATTTGAATAACCCTACGACAAGTAAGAATATTCATTACCATCTTATATAAGCTTTTACTACTCCTGACCTATACTTTGCCCAAGGATATGATATTCTCTTGAATTCTGCTTRCAGTATGCACCAATCTAAGATGTATGTTCTTCTTTACCTTTTGGCATTGACTTTAAACTAAAGGGCAGAAGAAAAAGACTACAGAGAAGTTWAAATCATAATTCACAGCTTGGGTCCTCCTCTGCAATAAAATACATCTATTTCAGATGATTCCCCCAGTTCCAACAAAACCTCATCTTCTAAGCAGGGTACCAAGACCTTGCTTTGGTCAGAAAGTGATAATAGGAACAATTAAAAAATACCAGGAAGATGCTAGCCTTCTCTTTCCTACCAAACAGCCTTTTCCCCTCTAGATGCTTTCTCTTGTCTTTTCCTTTGTTGCTGTTATTCAGCAAAAGTTAAAGTTTCTTGAGGCATTTATACCTGGATTTCAAAGCTCCATGCTGTCCCCTACATTATCACATGTCCAGTTGCCTCTATGCCTCAGCTTTTTAGTGTTCATCCACCCAATGCCTTCCAGCATTGCAGAGGAGACTCTTGTGGTGGAACTGCCATGACAGAAACAGTATTTCTGTATGACACGTCCTAGACTCTCCCCTGTGAGGCACTCTGCTTCTTCCATTACTGATGCTAATCACCAGGACTTTTACAAGATCCTTTCTACTGTAGCACAGCCAAGTCTCAAATAGTTTATAGTTCATGTGATTAAGATTTCAAATCTTGTGTTTAAACACTTAGCCACTTGAAGAGCATACTTAATTTTACAGCTGTATTGAAACCATCATCATTGTCGTACATTCAAATAACACCAGGTCCCAGAAAGATATATTCACACAAAGAAAATTTTGCACTGCCCACATTTTTGGGAACTTAAGGTACTTCTTCCTTAGTGTTAAAGCTGGCTGGATTGTGTGGCTGTAACTTCTATACCTGATGTACTTCAAGAAAGAAAAACCCTACTTCTAAAGATCTCCACGAATTTATTTTTTGGCTAATGGACTGGCAGCACAAGTTTCCTGGTTGTACTGGCCTACATTTAGGTGGCTATAGACCTTAGATCTGCCATCCTCCCTTGTGCCCCCACTTTTTAAAAAAAAACCCAAACTTTTGCACTTAAACCACTATCTCTCCATGCATATTACAACTGGTACAGCTAAGGCCCTCTTTACTTGATTTATGTTCTAATTTCCATCATCACATTGATGTATCAATTGCAGTGATTGAGTAWAACACATGCATATTCATAAACTGTRTTTTTACACTTCATGTGAAATCTTAGTTAGGTCTCACAAGTACTTTGTAAACTCAGAGAAGCAGCTATGGACCAGTAAATTCTCAAGGACTAGYTGCACAGCTGAAATTCTTCTTGGATTTTTTTTTTAAAAACGAATTTAGCTTTTTCCATATGGTAGAAGAGACAACTCTTCAAGCAGTTCATTCTGAATCTGCCAAATGTCTTAAAAGCCAGCATACATATGGATCCTTTTCTTTCTTACTAGGTATATATATATATATATATATACTCTGTTTACAGGATTTAAGTACAGTGCCCTTGACGAAATGTGCTTTTTCATACGAAAATGGAAGAATCCTATTCAACATAATTGAATATTCTTGTCTTCACTRCTTAAGCAAAGGAGTAGAACACTGAATGATTAACAAATATACTATGAAACTACTTCAATGCATTCATCTTTTAAGACTTAACATTTCACCTATTTAAGCAAGATACACACTTTATGAATAATGTTATGCAAAAGTTATAAATTACTCAAAGATTTATCACTATTTCAAGTAYGTTCATAAAATGGTTTATGTTTTTAAGTTTTTCAGGAAAACAATACTAGAACCTATTTTCTCTGAAATAGGCCACATTCATTATAACCATGAGTACTCACATTTCCACCCAGAGTACAGACACTAATTTTACACCCATCTTCTGTGCTTTTGTCCATGTAGTCAAACGTCCATCTTTGAAGACTACATGGGTCACGTGCTTGTTTAAAGTTTTTGAAACCTGCAGAAATACAGAGAGTTTATACTTAAGTCTGATAATGGGAAAATGCTAATGAAACCAGCTAGTGTAGTACATTTTAAGTGYATAAACCATTAGCGTAAAAATTGATTCTAAACATTATGTCAAGGACTCTTGATCTTTCTCAACAAAATGCCTCAAGCAATCAAAAGCTCAAGTCTCATTAGTTAAGCTAATACAGGCGAAAGGGATTGAGTAGCCATTTGTGTGTCGGTTACCATTTCCAGCTTCCTACTCTAGATGCATCAGCAATCTCACARCATTTTTATTTATACAATGTAACATAATTCTGCAACAGCCAAGACAGAAAGCAGATGWCGCTATCCAAAGAAATAACAAAGTATCTTTTAGGTAGCAAAGAACTGAGGCTTAAAGAGTACAGCYAACCTTACTTTTTAAACTAATTGTCATCGATAAAGATCACTTTTAGTTTTGAGAGAAGGCTGAAGGTACTGCAAACAAAAATTGTATGGGAATGCTTTAAAAAATGAGAAATRCAGAAAATTTAAGTCAACACAGATAATCAAATTTTCAGTTATCAGCCTCCATTGGCAAGCAATATTTTCAGTTCCAGATACTCCATTCTTCAAAAACAAGGTTTCCTTTGTGGAGACTAAGTATCCTATACAGAACAGCTTGATCAGTTGTTGTTATTGTTGATGTGGTGAGATCAATATAACTCATTCTTTACTGGACCATCTTCCCAGTCAAATGGAAATAGATTCATAGCTTTTTGTTGTACTTGGCTCACAGAACATTGGGTCTATATTTAGCTTCAAGGAAGCTAATTAGCTTTTCCAAAAATTTTTGGATGGCAAGCTGATTATGACTTCTTAGACAAATCCTCATGACATTTAAGTATCTAAGTGTACAATARTCCATTAATCTCTTATGGGATAAGTTATGACTTATTCACTTTTGCCAGTATACAGCTCACAGCCCATGTCCCAAGGATGCTTGATGTAGCTTCGCCTCCAAATTATGTAGGAGCACTACYTTACACCTTCCTCTCACCTTTCCCATCTCCTCCCTTACCCTACGCATCTTCTGCTGTTCAGCTGAACTTACTTTGAGATGTCTGAATCAACAACCTAGCAAATGACTAATTTAGAAGTTAATTTCCTGATACAGTGAACCACGTCATCTTGCTATCATGTGCTCAGCCAATATCAGGAAATGTCTGGAATAGGGTAGGAGCATCACCATCTTTATTCAATCATAGGGATCTGCTAAATAGGCTCATCTGTACCATCTGCCTGCTCCATATTTGTTTATTTTGACCAATTTGAAGAGAGTTGAAGTCTTATGCTTCTGCCATATTTTCARTGAGAAAAAAATCTGACATCGTCAGAATAGAATTACACAGATCTGATAGCAAAGCATAGAAGTATTTCTTGTTCTTTTTACTCTAGTTATTTATTGAGAATTGAGTTTGCTTTAACAATAAAACCACTTATCCTACTGTTCCGTCACACTCAGTCAGCTTACTTCCTACAGCAAGAGAGGATTTGGGGATGGAGACCAGCAAGATTTCTTATATTACTGTAAGAGACATCTACACACRGCCATTTAAAGAGCACTGGGAGTCCACACAAATATTCTTTAGGCTGTAAAAATTTCCAATAATTAGCAATAATGTGCAAGAAGGGGTGATGCCAGTTTGACTTTGGTTGAAATGYTACAGCTGGTAATTAAACATGTTTTGTACCTATGAGTCAACTATATCTGGTACGGAAAAAATCACTGAGACATATACRGAAACTCTTAGATGAATTTTTACTAGCACTTTCTGGAATTGATCCAAATTTGTGGGACAGTGAATGAAAGAATAAAATGCCATACTACTTGAGTTAGAAAATACTGGACTAAGAGCAGCTGCTTACAAGTTGACAAAAACAAAACCATATAAGGTACATATTTGTAAACTTCGGGTTTTCAAGACTTAGATTTGCTTTGCCCACAGTATGTGCCAAGTCCAACACTTCCCAAGAAATGCATGCTACCATATTAATATGCAAAGAGGTCTGTAGATGTAGAAAGGCTTTAAATGCATTTCCCATCTGTCAGTAGCAAGAATTTTACAGCATGTTGGTCTATTCTCAGGTCGGATTTTCTTCCTTCCTGTCCTTTAAAAACTCATACTAAAAAGCAATACACATGACAAGCAGAACAAGCAAGCTAATTTATAATTAAGATCTTTCCTATTGTATTTATTTCAAAATAGTTTTCTTACTTTTGCTCCCATATCAAGAAGTTGCTGTTCGAAGGTTTTTGAGTAATTTTCTGTTCTGTTAGATGACCAAACTTCTACGAACGCAGAAATACCTGAATCAGAAGAGAGAAAACAACAGCTAAGAAGTACATACATACTAAGAAGTACCTATGGTAAAACTGGTTAAACTGCCTTTTCAATTAAATTTTCTTTTATACATATTGCATTCAGTTGCAAATATAGCTTTCAGTGAACTGTCAGATTTTAGCAGCAGACTGGGTTTTTTTTTAGTGTATTTATGTCCCCTAAATTAGTCATAATGGAAATAACTTAGAAGTCTGACATTAGTTAAACAATTTTTCACTTCATCTATTTGAAACACACTACCAGCTTAACAAGCAATGCATTATCTTTATATGACTGCTTATGCCTACCATCATTTAATCACTGCTAATCTTCAGATTAATTAAAAGCTTGCTATAACACAACTTATAGAACAAAATGAAACAACCACAATAGAATTACTGCTTGTCCAAACTCCCAGAAAACTCTGCATAAATACTACTTAACAGTTTCCAACTCATTTYAATTCTCACTTTATTTATATTGAAGCACCCAAAATTAGGTACATAGGTGCTAATAAAATTTATGCTGCTTTATGTAACTTTAGGTATTCAGATTTAATTAGCTCCCTTTATTAAGCAGATTAACAAACTCTTCAAGGAATCAAATCAGTCATGGTTGAGAATATCCTCAAACAACCAAAGTTGAAGTACTGACAAGAAAGGATAAGCAAATAAAACTCATAACCATCCCTTCAGTAATTTTACATAGGACAGGCACTAAAGTGACCTACAGTTCCACTGGCTATGCCAATTTCCCATTCTGAATGACAAATCAGCAAAATTCCCAAAACTTGAGAAATGGCAGYTCACCTAAAACAACTTTATGCAAACTGCATAAAATCAACTCTCAGAACTCATGAATAAAACTGAGAGTTTCAATTTTAAAGGGTCATCCTTAGCAAATATTGCTTAATTATCTTAGCTACTAAGATAATTAAGCATGTCCTTCTGATTAATTATTATGTAGTCTCATCTGTCTCCTTTCTAAATGAAAAAGAGAATAAATGCTCCAACAATAGAAGTACTTTAATAAAGATTAAAGTATTTTTACAATTAGTGGAATGTTTTCCACATACAGGAGGAATATGAAACATAAACCACTTCCTCATGCAAACCACTAGGAAAAAACTCATTATCAGTACTATGACTTCAGATATAAATGGGAATTAAAGACATTAAGTAAGTCTACTCCAAYGCGCTTTTAATTGTGTTCATTCATCTACTAGATTGGGGCTCATTCTGCCAGAGTTGCTTTTTCCCTTGATTTTTCAATTGTGAAAAACATTGCACTTGCATTTGAAAAGATAGTTTCTTCCTCTTGCATCAAATATTTTAGAACTTTTCGTAGCTAAAATTCTCCTAGAAAAACAGATCTGAACATTTCAGTAAAGGTCAAACTAGGAACATAAAGGGATGGTACTTCAAAGCTTCGTGYCACTGCAGTAGGACCAAAGGCGCGATTTACAATAGTTAGTCAATTTCAGCTAATCAGATATATTTCAGCAAAAGACGAGGCTTTTTGTTGTTTTTGTTGACGGAAGGAAAGTTGACGGAAAGGAAAATRAGGGAGAGCTTGGCGCTTTTTTGAACTAGAACTCTGAGTAGAGATCGGTTCTTGTAAATGCCGGCCTGAGAAGGCCTCAGAGAACGAGGTGATGGCAGAGGAAAAGGGCCATGAGAGGGCAACTTGGCGAGGCAGAAATTTTGAGATGCAGAAGAGAGCCACGACTGACCGGGGTAGGAAAAGCAGAGGGGTCGCCGGGCAGTGTCCCACCGGGAGCCACCCCAAAGGGACAGCCCGAGCGGAGGGAGGCCTCCGGCCCGGCCGGTCCTGGCAGCCGCGCAGCGGAACCGGGACTGGGCCCGGGCAGAGTCCGCCTCCACCCGGRGCCGGACAGGCCCCGTCGCCGGGATCGGCCGGTTCGCGGCGAGTCGAAGCARCCCGCGGGGGAGCCCTGACCGCCCCGCGGCCGCCGGCCGGAGCCCCAGAGCGGCCCATCATCCGGCCTGCCCGGCCGCTCTCCGTCTGCCCAGCCGGGAAGCGCCGGGGCAAGGGCCGAAAGGGGGCAGGGACAGCGACAGCTTGGAGCCCGCGCCAGCACGGCGGCTGCTCTCGCCACGCCGRGAGAAGCGGCCGCACCCGGCCGAGCCCGTACCTGTGAGGACGGGCTCCATTGGCGGCACGGCGCGGGGAGCTCGGCRCCCGCCACGCTTCAAACGCGCCCCCGCGCTGGCCCCGCCGCGCCTGCGCACCAGGAGCGCCGGGGAGCGGAGCGGCTGTGGGGCCCCGCCGGCCTGGTCGGAAATGCCGTGTGCTCGGCCCACCTCCGGCCCTGCCCTGCGCCGGGAGAAGCGTGATATAGCCGAATGCTGGTGGAAACACTGTCACACGGTTAATTAGATTGTAAAAGAGCTCTGAGATCATCCAGTCCRATCAGTGACCCAACACCACCTTGTTAACTAGACCATGGCACTGARGGCTACTTCCTATCTTTCCTTAAACATCTCCAGGGACGCTGTCTCCATCACTTCCTGGGGCAGCCCGTTCCAATATCTAATTACCCTTCCTGTTATAAAATTCTTCCCAACATCCAATCTAAACCTTCCCTGGCACAGCTTAAGCCTATGGCCTCTCATCCTGTCACTAATTCCTGGGAGAAGAGACCGACCCTGATGTGGCTGCAGCCTCCTTTCAGGCAGTCGTAGAGGGCAATAAAGTCCSTCCTGAGCTAAACACYCCCAGCTCCCTCAGTGGCTACTCACAGCACTTGTGCTCCAGACTCTTCACCAGCTCCATTGCCCTTCTCTGGACTCACTCCAGCACCYCAGTGTCTTTCCTGAAYTGGGGCCCAGAGCTGGACACAACACTCGAGGTGTGGCCTCACCAGTGCTCAGGAGAGAGGGAGAGTCACTGGTCCTTCTCTTGCTGGCCATGCTGTTGCTGATGCAGGCCAGGATGCCATGAAGTTTTGACAAAGCTGTGAAAAACAAGGTTCACTCTCCTGGTAAAAATTAAAAGGTTTTAATAAGTGCCAATAGGGTACATAAAAGCAAAAGGAGATGATGTCGGGTGCTTGGCGATCTGCCAGAGGCACACCSGGTATGGATAGAAACTTCTTTAAATACATTCTGTATTACATCAGCCTAATGCCTATTCATAGACATTTATGCATATTTAAACCTGTCTTGTTGTTTTATGTTCCTGGGGTCATGTTTGTGTGACCCCTATTCCACAACTTCAGCAGATGGTCCTTGTTGATAGAGAAGTGTCCGTAGCAGGGGCCCCTAATGGGTCACGGGACCCCTGGCCTGTCCATTGCAGATATGGTTGTCTGAAGGTTGAGGGGTCCCATCAGCCACATTCCTTTTGCCGCAAACAATGGATGTTTTTACAAGTTCTTCTCACCAGATATTTTTTCTCAAAGCCTCCGCTCCTTCCAGCCCCACCCTTTCACTGTCAGGGTCTGTGCTGGTTTGGCAATTGATATCCCTGGGGCGATGGCCTCCCCACCCCGAAGGTGCTAAGCATCTTAGTGAATGTATGCATTCTTTTCTCCAGCTTTGAGCTGCTTCTTATCTTTAGGGACCATTGCCATCAGGGCCCCATTCTGGGTTTTTTTGGTGACTTTCTTTGCAGCTATTGTATAGTTTTGCTATAATATAAAAAACATAACTAAACTTCTCTACAAATAAGACAATATTATATCATGATGCACAACACATAGCATCTACCTTTAATCTCTGCGAGGAACTTACACTACAATATGTGTTTAACGCACACATAGCACTCATCTTAACATTTGCGAAAGCCAACACTATAATATGTGTTTATAACAAAGCCAAACACTAAGTGAATTTGTTGTGTCCGTTCACCATAAGGAGTCCTAAATGGCATTCTGGAAAATTTTAGTTTGTAGGAAAGCGGATTGGTGAACTGCTTGTCTCACAACTCTCTGGTGGCCCAAACTGCAGTGTCTGTGGTGAGAAAACAAGTAACAGAAAAAGCCAGCACAATCGGGGTTACCAAAGAGCACTGTGAGACGGTATTTACCAAAGCATGTAAAACTGCTTGTAAGCAACTGCGCTATTGACTGTAGTTAGGGAACCCTAACAGGAGCTGGCTTTGGTCCTTAAAMGCTGGAGTGTAGCAAATGCAATACCACAGGGAAGTTAGAGAAAAAGTAATGGATTCCTCTGGGAACAATGGTAAAATGTATAATAAAATAAAGGAATTAGTGAATGTAAGGAGATTTACCATGAGAAAAAAAAGAGCATACTGAGGAAAATAATGCTGCACAGCTTTATTATACAACTCACACCGCTTGGGAGTTACCATATGGTTGTACAAATTGGTGATGTTGTGAAATCTTCAATATTCTAATTTAATTATCTAAAAAATAATACAACTGACATAGGAAAACAACAGAGATGCAAAACAAGGATACTAAGTTATTTCCATATGAGAGACAGCTRTTCAGACAAGGATTGTCAGCTTGGAAAAGAAACAATGGAAGGGGATTGTGCTAGAGTCCTTAAAATCATGATGGTGTGTGGAAGGTGAACATGGAGTGGTGCATTCCAAACAAGAGCTAGTGAGCACCAAAAGAGACTGCCAGATGGGGCCTTCTCAGAAGAGATGTTTCCACATTGCACCTCATGAGGCTATGGTGGCAGTGTTCAGAGTGCTGGCAAGCCACATGGTCTCTGAAGAAATTCAACAAATTCATGAAAACCATTTCAAGACTAAAAAATGTACAAACCCACCTTGCCATCAGTAAAGCCCTGAAYTGTATGTTGCTGGACTCTGAGAAGGTACAGGGAGCACTTTGGGTTTTTCTTTACTTTTCTTTTGTTCTTTTTTTCAGTGATTTCCACTGGAGAAACAGAACTGAGATAAAAAGACTTTGGTGTAGCCCATTATGCCCATTCTTACTTTCATGGAGAGACTCAAATCTTGACTCCTAGGAGACTRCCAAGAAGATGGCTGTACTATACTATATCTTAAGATACCTTAATCTAGTACATAATATGTTGGCATTGAGACAGTTTGTTTCATTTTCAGRACATTAGTATGGCACTAGATCTGTTTCAAGTGTTTCAAGTAAGTTCTTGGGTGCTTCCTGTGCTGAATGTGTGACAGACTTCTTTTCACTTATGTATTCACTATGTGTACGAAGTAACCAATCTACATATATGTTTGTTTRTATTTACCCATCTTTGTACTTCTGATAATATGTTACACTGTTCTTTGCTAGGCAATAATAAARTATTTTTACTGAGGTTCTCAACKGTGCCTCAAGGAAAGGGGAGTCTARTCTTAATGCAGTGTCTATGAACAGTGATGTGAGGGCAATTTCAGAAGTGGAGGTAGGGGAGATTTAAATATACACTGAAAATCCCCGGTAAAGAAACCACTGGCTGTGTTTGGGCCTTTAGCTGAAAGGATGCTAAAGGCAAATATGCTGAAATGTGCAATTACATCTCTATGCTCTGATTCTAAACTGGTAGAGACAATGAAAAKTAGTAATTGCAAGAAAATGTTGTAACTCATTATCACAGCAGACTAGGACTACTCATGAGAAAGCTGCACTTGGGATGCCTACCTTTTTTTTCACAGAAATGATACACAGAATACTGAAATTCTCCCACAAATTTACAGTTTTGTCTTTAWCAGTTGGAGTTTTGACATCAGAGTTACTTTAGGATTTACAAGAACTTAATTCTCAGATGGTGAATAAACTTCAGAATTCCACTGGTAGTTAATAGTTGTCTGTTCTTGTGCCAGTATTGTCTTGCTGTCAAGTTACTTCTCAGCATTTATCATCCTCTGGTACTTACCGAAAGCAGCWCTATATTTTTACAGCTGCTATTTTGCCAGTTTGAATACATTGGRGTGTTTTTACTTTCATGCCATAGTAAGCTCCTGAAAATGACAATGAATGGGACTTATTTACATTAAGTAAACTTAATGTAAATACCCTCTAAATAGGTTTGTTTGTTGCCTTGATGATATGCAATTTCTTTTTGCCTGTAAAGTTATGAATATGGCATTAACAGATTGMCATGATTTCTCTACAGTCAGTACTTACTAGGACATACAGGTCATAGAATGCYGCTCTAGGAAGAAAGAGTTTTACAGGACAATTATGTTGAGAAAGGGGGGAACTGTGAAAGYTGCATTTCCTAATCAAAAAGAGGTAATAAGCCCAAGAAAGTAAAAGTCCTATGAACACCTARATGTTTCCAAGCCATCCAAACAAYCTTGAAAAACTAAAAAAAAATCCASTAATGTRTTAATTTTTTGGTGTTGGGTAAAACATAAAAAGGAGCTGTATTCTCAATTCTTTCTTTGGTAATTCAAAAGTTTCCTTCTCAGCTAGCCCTTAATTTTTGATATAAATTTGGTGTAAACTTTGGGATGGTGTTTTTTAAGGCTATATCACAGAGACTGTTTCTCTGACGTAGAGTTCAGATGGTGGGCTATGTATTACTCCTGGGATTTGACATTAAGCTTATGAAAGATTCCTAGAACAAATAAGGAGGTTTGYTATTATTAAGTAAATTCTGATTTTGTATATTAACTATTGGATGGTGTTTGTTTGTTTATTTGGTTGGGTGGCTTTATGAGCCTATTTCCAATTTGTGCAATCATCAACCTTTTGTATTAATTTTTTGAATCCTAAATTTCCAAGTATGAGTTGTGTCCCAGATAAACAGCTGGGGTGCATTGTTTCCTCTAAACTAGTAAATTCCAGTGAGTCAATCAGTTAATGTATTTAAGACCTGAACACTTGTATAAAAACTGGAGTTATCATCTCTACAATGSTACTTGACCATTACAGATGCAGAGGTGGGAAGAAGCACTTGGAGGTACAAACTTGCATGCAGTTTTCTTGGAGGAAGCTCCTGAAATGAGCTCTGATTGTCCACACCAGCTGTCATTGTCTCCTCTGACAAGGCAGACTCCTGATTTTCTTAGTAAGTCTAACAGTTCTTGT